ACGTGAGACAAATCTTCGGTTGACACCCTAGTGTCACATCAACCCCCCGGAAGACCCAAGCTCAAAAAATCATATGCACACCGACTTTCCATTTGCTCATTGAAGACATTGTCTCCATGAACTGTCGGAGTTCCAAACAACCTCATATTGACTTGGATGCTCGCCGACCTCACCACGGAAAGTAACACACCCAAGGCCGCCATAATTATGCTACCAACCCCTCCTTCTCACAAGAAAACGGCGGACATCTTCTGTATTCTCGCCTCGCACGAAATGACAGAGTTTCACCGTGAGAAGCCCCGTCGTGCAGAATGTTCTGTGGTCGCCTCTGGAGGCAAAACCAATCGTTTTGCGGCCTTTAAGAATTCAACAAATTCAAGTTCTCTTTCGTGGAGGGGGCCCTGCTTCTATGTAGTCACCAGTTGCAACGTCGGCGGCGGATTTCGCCCACAAGTTGTGTCAGTGCAATTATTTGAGCGTCGTACATGAAATCATTCTCGACGCGTAGGCTAATGAACCTAACCACACGATAATTCGGAACCTCGGAAGTATAGCATCGAATCTCAGATGATTGACCAGATTTGCATTTGAGCACGGTGCCTTTAGCAAGGGTTTTCCAGGCCGCGCTGGTCGTGATGAAGGGTCAAGCCTCATATTCTAAGTTCTTACATGAGGGTCTTGATCGTCGTCACCTTGTACCCATACTCTCTCACCTAAACGGGCTTCGCGCCCCACCCACTCTTATGTATTTGTTCCGATTCGGAATCTTTTCTACAAAGCCGCCGAAAGCGAACTGTATCCCGTCGCATGATATAAGTTGTTAATCGTTATACCGTACCGCATAAGTATGAACACGGGTGAGTCGGTCGGCGACCGCGTACAACAAATTGGAAAATGTGTCTTGGGCTTTCGGAATCGGCAACGAGCAATTCAATTTGTTTCGACTCAGCCCTGTAACTTACTACGTAGTGCGGAGTACAATCAACGGTCACTCCCAAGCCAAAGGAATACAATACGTACAAAGCTACGGGATTCATAAAGCGGGCGTGCTAAGACCACTCTACTAAACATAGCTCAAGCCCCATAATTCTCTTCAAAATATCCATGTTGTCCTTAGACCATAATGCCAAGCCGTTGGCCGAACAAAGTTTTTAACAGGAAATTTCGAAGATGGTCAAAGAAACGAAGGGAATTCAGATCGCGACTGAATCATCCCGAGTACGATGGTTGACTATCGTGAAATTGAAGAGCGTTACATCCACCCATACTGATATATGACTGGAAGAGGAAGAGAAGGCTCCTAGGACTTTGGAACTTAGGAGAGACGCGTGTGAAGCTCCGGCAGAGCTACCTTCCGCAACCATTTCCTTTCGTGTGCCGTCGATCCTAGTAGCGCGTACAACCCCAGCAACTTACTCTATTGCTCCTATTCCGGTATTTCATTGCAAAATCGAAATGAATGTTTGAGAGACATACAAACACATACGAAAATCGCCCCCATAAGTTTAAGCCGCAAACCCCGACAGAGAAACATATTGCGAACTGATTGTTGCTTCGGCGTCTGCGCCGTCTTACCTACCGACAAGAACTAAAGAAGAGCTAACATGACCTAAACTTGAAGGTCCACTTCGCTTCGCCCTCGGGTCAAGAAAGTACATAGTTGGCATGCTCTGGTTTTCGGTATTTGCCGTTACCCCAGGCCCCGTGGGTCATTTTGCTGATCATGTCTGGCGGGTGGTGTTAATCTATGATACGCCCCTGATCACAATCCCTGGTCAGTCTTTGTGGGCCCGTAGCGACGAGATAAGTATACATTATCGAGGAGTGTGTATGGCCTGTTGACTAGGACCATGGTACTTGAAAACACTAGTCGCAGCGAATCATATCACCAAAGAGTCAAGCTAGTCTCCCCATATTTCCCAATCTCAACTCTTAGCAAAGCCCCAGTTCATACACCTATACTACTACAATAACCTGGCTCATAAGTTACAGACGGAACCGAAGGCATGTAGGGACCTCAGAAGCCAGTACTCTAATGACAGGGGAGGAAATTAGGTGATTCAGCCTGACTGAGGGCTAGACCATCAACAACAATCAGAGATCGTCCATCAATCCATCCAGTTGCCTTTCTTAGCTATACAAGCAACAAGGACTAGGTCTATCGTTGAAATTGCAAGATGGCAGCAATAAAAACTTAAAGGTCATGGGTTGGGGCCAAAGATTTATGACTCCTAACGATAGACCGATACAGCCAGAGCTACCAGGCATGAGCAGGGCGTGGTCCCACAAGGCCTTTGCGATCTCCTTCATAGATTCCTAGCTCTAAGCTCATTGAACGTATATCCATTGGGCGGAACTATTACCACAGTCACCGTCGGTTGGGCCTCCTTCCCGCTTAGGCGGTAAAGTAGGACAGCGTCTAGGCAGGCTCTACTAGTGTCACGTCCAATGCTCTATGCTCTATGCTATATGTGATCTATAGCAGGCTATCGGTGCCGAAACTTGACGTCCAGAGATCTCAACCGGCATCTCCATCTCACAAGGCTTATTCTGTGGCGCTGTTAAGCTAGCACTACACGCATGAATCAGCCTTGGCGTCAGCGAACCTAGATTGGCATAGGCGGATTGAAAGTTCTCGCATGCTTCCTTGTTGGGTTTCGGAGTATACTGAAGATCTCCAATCCCCCTGAAGCAAGTCTCTCAGCTATTAGTCATGCTAGACGCCGTTCAATGGAGGTATTCACAATGCTACCAATCACTCTCGTCTCTAGGCTAACCACCTGGCCTCTTTTCCCTCATGATGCTCTCATCTCCCTCGTGTATTCACTTTGTCGGGGTTCGTTGCAAACGCCTAACCAATGGGATATCGTCATAATGTCATCATGGATGGCGGCAAATTTATACATCCCAACACAACATCGTTAAGTGGTTACACTAGGGTGTCCTATGACAGCTAACAGCTTGAGATAGGTAGCTCCTCATTCGAAGAGGCATACCTGTAACCTGTTAGCCACCCCCTCAAGCAGATTCTGAATGTCTTGACGACATGCGCCTCCAGAACCCCCATTTTCTAAAAGCCGTCTGACGCCGTTGGCACGGGATTGGAGAGGGGAATCAATTTGCAGAGCATCCCAACAATCACTGAAGACGGGGCAATGAAGCATCTACATGCTATGATTTTTATCACCAAGCCATTTCTCCAACCCCCGGTATCTTCTCTTGTTGTCGTCAGCTTCGGACATATGAACCAGTCAAAAAGGGGAAGGGATAAGGTGAGGGAACACTAAGATCGGATCGATGAGGCGACTCATTTTCTCCTAGCGTATATTATAAACGAAGGACACCGCGATCGTATCGACGACCACCCACACCCAATTAGCCATGGAGTACCCCTAAAGTCACGACGTGAGTACAATCCGTGATTCAGAAGGACATCCAATCTCCGGCCATTTAGCCAAGTACGGATTCGACGTGCTACTCCCATAGGTAGAAGATAGGCCGTCCACCAGTAAGATGGTAGTTCATCTTGTCGATATGCCGGTGCCCCTCCCAGTCAGATTTATTGTAAGCGACCACACCATAGTTGCGGACGCTGTGCCGCTATACCACTTGCGCCATTGACGCTAGAGGTACTCTCGAGGGTTAGGGGTACTCCTCACACAAGCTGGCCTCTTCAAACAGCACCCAAGATAGTACGACCTCAGGCCTGAGATTCTATGGATTCTAGTTATACTGGGGAATGAAGCGAGATTTGACTTGACCGATCCGAGAACGAGATACTACGCTCACGTATGCGCGGCCCCATCGTAACCATTAAAATCGATCATGAATTTTAAAGGTACGTTGATACGAACCTCATACTCGCCTTCACATGGATCTAGCAGCTATTCGCACGTAAACCCCCCTGTTCACTTCATATTAGGTGTCAGCCGTATATATAGAATCTTCAGGTGTGCCCATAAATAGGGGGTCGTCAGATCATGAAAGCAAGCCACACCCACACAGTATCACGCATAATACACCCATAAACAGACATAAAACATTGCATCGTCTCTTGGAAGGCCAATCAGAGTCCGTATAATACGGGGATAAGAAAACCACAATCATCGGGTTCGGTCCTATCGAAGGGGATGTACGGAAATACGTCGTAATTGCTGCCGATGATACTGCCGAGCTGATCACCATTATCAAACCAAGCCTCAATATGGCCAGGCATCCGTCAGACTCGTCTATTATCAGAACTTAAAATGGAAAACCCTGCATACATTCCTTCTATTTCTCTCTATTTTCCCACCACCAAGATCTCGAACTTGAAACATGAAACGCGGATGACAGCTGGTGATTTTCACCGGGGTTGTTTCAATCTAATAGATTACGGAAGCAAATAGCAACAGAAGCATCAGCGCATGAACCACCGCCACTCTGTAGCAGATACATGCGAGCAATACTTCCTTGCCGGCCATTTTCAACATGGTAATAACCGGGATGACGGTGGCATGTATGTACTGTACTGTACATATCAGCCTCCACTTCTGCAAACCTGTCTTTTATATCTCTATTGCAACATGTAGAGAACGACAGCCACGTCGATAAGCATGACTCCATGCCAACCTTAAGTGATGTACCGATATGATTACTGCTCGATAGGTGATCGCCCAGCCATCAGCTAGGAAACAGGGGTCACGATACATGGCGGGGCACTGTGAAAGAACCAAATTTCGCCTACGAGCTGATAAACTTGTTTCAAGGCTACATTTTTCTTGCATACATACATAAGAAACATATTAACGACTACTAGAATTCCGAAGCCTGCCAGCCCCCTCCAAGGGACCCAGGCCGGGGTAGCACTGCCTCTCAGCGTCGCCACCAGAAAAAGCACACCCGCATTTCCAGCTTTGTTTCTATATTTGGCAGCATCCTCTCCCGTCTACCACTAGTACATGTCAGGAATCGGCACGGCAAGGTAAATTTTCGAAACAACATCATCATTACTCGAAACGTACGAACGTACATACATTTTGCATTTCTCGCTACCAGGTACTATTGACGAAGTTGAGTCTTATCGTCATCTCGCTTTCTTTCCTCAACGTCGCATCGTATGTCGTGACGTTCATTATGTAATTTTCTTGTCACGCAGAGCCACCCCTGACGCGAAGCCGGCCAATCACTCATGCTTGTAGCGCGCTTGTTTTGTATGCTTCGAGCTACCCACCCATTCGCTGTTTCTTGCCGTCTTCCTTGTCTCATCCATCTGTTACTATGTATGTGTCTATCTCTATGCATCTCATCAGGAGAAGTCGTACCAGTCGGGCGATGTCGACATAAACTACACATGTTACGGCGTCGAAGCGAGCTTTTCGGCGTTGACTGACTAATGACAGCCGTTCGGATTCGGCGGGGCGCTCTATTTGTTAATATCCTACGCCGTACGTATTATTTACATGCTTCATTTGCGACCTCACGATGCTCATCGGCTCACGCAATTCTGCATATTCATTCTCCACGACAGCGATACCTGCAGACTAATGAATACGTACGCAGCAGACGAGGGTATAGCGCGCCTAGCCCTTTCGTGCTTACTTACATTTTTACATTTCGCGCGATGGATCGACAAGGGGAAATTAGAATGGCAATTCTCGGCCGCTCGGATGCGAGTGTACCTTGCAGGCTTAGACAATAGGAAGAAAAACCGAGGACCCTTCGGGACCGCGCCTAGCTTTAGCCTAGCTCGATTTTGCAACTGGAATAGCGGTACGATAGACAATTTTGGAAGCCATCGCGGCTCGAATGCGCCCCGCTATGCTATGTGGTCCCAGGGGAGGTTACAGGTGCTGCTATGCACAGTAATCACTAATGTGTCCTCCCCAGCATTGCTCTAATTATGTATATGCGCGGTCTAATCGTCGCCTTCCTTCCTAAAACCTTTTTGCCTGCCTACACCTAGGTGGATGATTACCTAGGAAACCGGCAACCCACGTCGCATGTGTATGGTCTAGTCGGAGACTTTGAATTTCTGCCGTTTGACATTCCTCCCGTCGCTCCGGCCATCGCACGATTCGCCAGGAAAGGGAGCTCCTACGCCGAATCGCAGCGGGAGGATTCAGCGCGGAAATCATGTATCAGCTAACTGGTTAGCTAGCTCTCGCAAGTCAGCCTTATTCGGATAAACGCATTTACCTGTCTGGCCTGTTCTCCGTCTTCTCCACGCCACGTGGGATCTAACGTAAGACCGTTCAGCTCGCACGGCAGTTCTAGCTGTCGACATCTCAGGCACAGGCACCGCATCCTCAGGGTATAGCGTCGCGCGATGCTATACCATACCTTGTCCTTGTTCATGCCCTTCCTTTCGATGCAAGACTAAATGTAGTATTTGCACATCAATATACAGTTAGATGCTACCATATCGGGACCGTGGAGGAGGATTGACACCATCACGTGTACACCTTGTCGCCAGAAGAGCCTTGCATGTAAGTTACTTTTCTGTTTCCGGCGCTTACATACCCGGTTACGACAGGCTATAGGGACCTGGCATGCCGAGATATCGCCCACGTGTGTGCGACAAATGACTAAGGTAAGGGGTATCCTGCGAGAATGGCGACAGCGCGGCGGACGATAGGGTACTTGCGGAGCGAGGGAAGGAATACCCTCCGCGCTTGGCCTTTAAGCCTACTTGGGGGTGGCTTGTTCTATTTCGAAACCTGCGCTAACGTTAGATAGGTAAGGTAAGTTAACGATGTCGAAGTTGATGTACGATGAGGTACATTGTCTGTGTCAGCCTACGTACCTGGATAGAAGACGCAGATTCCTATGTTAGGTAGGTATTCGTCAATTGGGGAAAGTTTCCGCTTCATAGGGTAGCCTAATCCGCTTTCCCGCCTAAGCTGACGTTATGCGGAAATTGCGGAATTTCGGAAGCTGGCGAGAATTGCGGGTTTCGATTTTTAGGTACACAGGTAAGATTCGTTTGAAATGAATTACTGATGGGAGTGGATGTCGCGTGTCTGGTGTTGGCTATTTGCACATACGGCGCCGACATTGTCAGAATATCCACTATGGGGTAATGGTAATTACAATACGAAGATATCTCTCCATTAGGGTTTTCCGAGTGAGATATGTGAAGCATCAGCATACCAGTGTCTCGGTACCCATTGCTGACTGTTGTTTATTCATGATGCGTTGAGATGATTGGAGATGGTTCAATACGCTAGGAGTCAGCCTGGGCTATGTATACTCTTGGAGAAGACAGTCATATCATCATGATGAGAATAGCTTCATGGAGATGTGTCCTATAGTCTGAGTAACATGAAATAGTCTCCTAAAATACATATTGCTAACCCATTACTCAATCGTATATAGGAATGTACACTACGTAAGAACTGTGGTGCCTGGGTGGCCACTTATGAATCATCTGCTAAGCCATGTCAAATAGGTAGATATATTCAGAATACGTTGGAATACGGGATATCCAGTATTGGTTACGCGTACCTAGAGGTGAATGGCTAATTTGGTCTTCATGCGACCTGCCCAGGTACGCTGAGGAGAACCCTTCAACCTGGTACCGAGTTCAGTGACTCGTCTGCTTGCCTCATGCCATCGCGACGGCTATGTAAGAAAATAGTTTCTCTTAGCTCGCTACTCCAGCTATACGTATAAGGTAAAAATCATCCTAGTCCTGCCTCTCCTCTATATTCTTGCTGTGGTTTACCTAGATAGGGGAGCTATGAGCAGGTGAGTGGCACAAGAAAAGGGGTATTGGTCCAGACACCTGTAGCCGATATTAGATATATTTCAAGCTCCATAGATCTGCGACTGGAGGCTTCAAACGCATGATCTTACCTAGAAACTCGAACAATGCTACTACATGAGGGCATTGAAATAGACACATGTACTTTACCTAAACAAGAATCTATCTCAGTAGTCATACCTGCCTAGCAAATACCTGATACCCTCATTCTGGTTGCGAGTATATACACTCTAGGGCAGTTTTAATTGGTCTTCATGACCCGTAAAGCCGTCTCATTTCCGCTTATACTATCTAACGATACTAGTTTGAGGGTGTAGTATACGCGTGTTGGTCTCACATACCTTAGATAGGTAGGTATCTATGTAGGTAAGCAAGCGCGACAGCTAGTGTAGTAACAATAGGGTAGTTTTAGCACATGTAAATAAGCTTATGAATGATATAGCGCCTCATTAACGTCACCATATGTATACTTTCAAATACATAGGAGGTAATATCGAGGACGAAGGAGGTAGTGTTGCTTCTTTGAGGTGAGGTCTAACCAATTCCGATGTCAATGTTAATAAGGATATATGCAGGTTACCGGTACACAGATAGTAATATAGTCAGTCTAGACATTGCGAAATATTCTATCAGGCCTGCTTCGAACTTGTATGATACCCTCACACATTGACATCGCGGGCTTAGAACGGAACTGGCAGGCCTCGGGGTCAATCTATACCCAGGTAGATCACAGACAACGACTCATTAAAATCAAACCAAAGCGACAATATACCTAGATCGGGGTAGTATTACTGGTGATCATACACAATATCTCGAGAAGAGCCATTAGGACCAAGTCGAATGGTAAACTGAATATGTAGTAAGGCCATAGTAGCAGAGTGACGACCCCTAAATACCTAGGTAGTCAAGGACGCTCACTACATCTCAAACTGGCATGGGGGGTGTGAAGACGATAGAGAGAAGACTTTATCTTGAGCAACCCTATGTAACGTCAACTATACAGTATAAACTCGGTATAAACTCAGTTGAGACTGAGTTTGTTCTAAGTTATTCCACTCCAATTCCGTTCTTATGAGTGTGTTGTTAGATCGTCGAGTCTTATAATACGGATTATAGAACAATGTTCAAATTATAGCAATTGTGTCCTAATTCTCGGATAGAGAAAAGGGGGCGGCATTTATATAGCTGCACACAAGAGGGAGCCCGCCATGCAAAGCTATACCTACCTACCTAGGTAGCCACTGCCTGGTTTCTCATTGTATTCTTATATATCAAACCGAATAAAAAGAAATCTCTAAATAAGACGTACTCGAGTGCTCCAACCCTATTTTTCTGATATTTGTGGTGCTGCCACACAGCATCTTTGGCTAGAGGTACTTCTTTCATTCGCCTTGAAGATATTTCCACGGATATCAACATCAGGAACTAGACGTATAAAAACCTAGTAATCGAGCAACCAACTATATCAAACACATCCGTTGCAAATAACCACCCCCAGAAGCCTATTGACGGCTCTTAGTACCCAAGATTTAGGTATAAATATAATTCTCTATCACCACATTCCAACGTTGACCTTAAGCGGGATACACCTATTTGTAAGGTAGTAGAGTAGCAAGACATATCATGAAGCAAGCCACCTATATTTAAACACAGCTACTATCTTATATCGACGAACGTAGGGCATAATCCTCATGAATGGCGAATTATGAGACAATCCAGACGTAACACAAACTTCAACACACCTTCTCTTAAAACTCCTCAAATATTCAACACAAGCACACAAGACACTAGGCGGAAGCATACAAGGCATGGCACATAACGTGATGTCGAACTCCTATATCAACACTATCTGCCACCCCACGAAAGCAAACAAACAGCAGCAAAACTACTAAAAAGCAAGCTACACTTATATTCGGCCGTCATGCCTTCGCCTATGTAATATCCCGCTCGATTCAGTTTGATTTGACTCATCCCGTCCGTAGTAACTAAATTCTGGCTACACGTCCTCGACTTGATCATCCCCAATTATTACTAAGATACCTGCTTATTCCTCAGCGACTTGGAGTCCCTCTCGGAGGCCCTCTACCTTCAACTCCTCGCCGGTAGCGCGCGCGTAGATGTCCTTAACGTCATCCGTGGTCGTCTCGAAGTGCGACGTAGCGTCGTAGCTCTTGGAGATGAAGATGTTGTCCTTCTTACCGTCCTCGAGGGGTTCGTAGAGCGGGATGGGAGGTCCCTAGATAATTGATGAGCGTTAAAGTTTAAATGACGGAAGGTGTATATATCTGTAGCTTACCATGAATTGTTCCTCGATCTTACCGAGGCGGTCTAGACCGGGTTGCAGCTCTAGGTGGTGGTTGGCGGATGTCTCAGCAATCGTGGATACGATGGCGATGTAGTAGCCCTTGGGGCACACGTTATGTGCCGACGAGACGCAGGCAACGTAGATATCTAGATTTATTAGTTAAAATCCCACGATTATTAACACCGCTTTAGAAATCTTGGGACATACCGTTCTTACGACCAACCTGGGATTGAGGGATAATCAATTGGCAGGAATCGCAGTCGTTGGTACCGGCCAAGGGGTGCTTCAAGACGCAGATAGCCTTGAGAACGTGGCCAACAACCTTTACCTTGTTGGGGAAGTACGAAGGGTCACCAAGAATCAGCTTAGCCTTGGTCTCGAACTTCATCTCGGGCTCAATGCCGGTCATGGTGGCCTTGATGCCCGTGGCCTTGCTGCCTTCGTATACGACCTCATCGACTGAGGTGTTAAGCATATAGGTACCACCGTAGATGGCGGATAGACGAGCAAAACCCTGGGGCAGCTCACCAAGACCGTACAGCGGGTAGATGTAAGGGGACTTGCCGTATCTCGCTACCGAGTTACCGTACATCCTAATACGCTCGATAGTCTCAGGGGCCTTGCCAGCATCATCAAGGTAGTTATCATTAAGGTAGAGGGCCATGGCGTGGCCGACGAAGTCTCGGGTGCCGGCCTCAAGACCAAACTTGTCGTAGACTTCCCTCATCGTAGTCTTGCTCAAGTCGAGACCTAGGGGAAAGTCTTGTCAGCCATTGTTCATCCCCTCGCAATGCCAAGATTATTATAATTGTTATCACTCACCCTTGTGTGTAGCGGAGTCCTTAATATCAAAAGTACCGACCCATTCTATGAAGCTCTTCATCCGTCGCTTCTCGAAGATGCCCATAAGAGGGGATCGCAGAGCTTCGGCGGCATCGGAGGGGACCTTGGCAATGGTAGCCTTAGCACCCGAATTTTGTTGGACGAAGCTGCCAGCAACCTGCTTGAATTCGAGATAGCGCGTGACGTCGGTGGAGACGAGGATGTTGGTCAGCTCGCCGGAGGACATGAGGAGCTTAGGAACCAAGTCGATGTTCCAGTCGTTGGGTCGGCCGTACTTCTTCCATGGCTCGTCGCCTTTTGTGAAGTTACCGTACTTCTTGAATAGCTATCGGTGGGAAGAATATGTGTTAGTTCGTTGGCGGGGTTAATAGGGGGGAGTGGTTGGGTAGGTATGTACCGTTTCGAGATTTACGGATGCGGCCTCTCTGTAATATTGCGCAGATACGTCAGCAAGGTATTCATTCATTAGATAGTAGAAATAATAGAGGTAGGAATCTTGTTGTTAGCTAATACGTACCCTCCGTAGTGATCGTTGCGATCAATATGCAACACCTTCCTGCCCTTGACACTCAACACACTGGAATTCCCCGTTAGCATACAAAGCACATGTTATCGAGCTGCTATGATGTAATCCATACCCGGAGAGAATACACTCGGTCAAGCCTGTATGAATATAGACATTGTTAGATATATCGTGAAGCTATTCCTACCCCACCATGAAGGGGGCAATGTAGACAGGCAAGCAAACTGAAAGGAATGCGGGGCCCAAAATTGAAACTTACCAGTGCCCAAGACGATGACATCGTACTCTTTGGCGATCTCATCCATGGTGGGCTGTCGGGTTTCCTTATTAATTAAGAGCAAGAAAAAAAAGAGTCTTGAGGTATTAATCAATCGCCAAAAGGATGGGAGAGTAATGAGTCTTCTTCTTTTGTTGACTCCAGGTCAAACGAGGAAAGATGTTTAGAGAATCGAGAAAAAATAATAATAATAAAAAGTATCGGTGAGAAAGGGTGGTAACCGTTAATGTTAATAGCGGTGGTAGCGGTGGATACAAAGCCGCTGCCCGCTGGCGGTTTATGGTTCTGAAGCTCAAACTCAATCGTTTTAGGTGCCTACCTAGGTAGGTACCCTACCAAAACAGCTACTACCAATCAATCAATCGACGACCCCGCGCTTGGCGACGTCTACGTACCCCCCTTTTTAACCCCTTTTGCTTGCTATAATCATCACTGTAACTAATTACTATCATTACCATCATTCATTGCAATCTTATTTATACTGACTATACCAGTTAATTAGAAACACATTTTGTAGTAGTAATATCCGATATATATTATCCCCGTGTTACGTCACAATACATAATTTAAAGATCAGATTGTTATCTTCATATCTCAAGGTATCATAAAAGCCACAAGTTATCGAAGTAGGCTTGATGTACACATATTTACACGCTCCATTTTCAGAGCTTTTATTATGTATCAACATACATAAAACACCTAGGTCAAGGTAGCATTTCATACTCTCGTCGAAGGTTGTTGAGTTTCCGTAGCATTAGCCGGGATTGTAGACGGGTCTACCTTTTCCGCAGTCGACTTGTCTCCTCCCTCTTGTGATCCCTCTGCCGATGCAGCTTCTTCTGTAGGCTCAATCTCGTCGAAGTATTTACTAGGGTTGTAAGGTGTCTTCGTATTGCTAAGATTGATCTCCGGGTCCGTCGCAGCCAGCTCCCTTGCGTCTTCCCAGAGGTAGTATCGTTCCGTCAGAGTGTGCTTAATCGCCTTCATAGTCTTGCGGACCTATACAACATCATACGGTGGTCAGCTTCAATTTCAATATATTCCATAAAGTCAACCTGCGCGAAGAGCAATGATAATAACTCACCTCCTGCAACCTAGCCTTAATCTCATCATCACCACTCAACAACTTCAACCTCTTCGACTCCTTAAGCGCAGTCGCGATGCGATTCTTCTCCTTAACACACACCCACCACAGGCGATGCAAATCATCCCAACTCTTATGCCTCAGCTCCTCAACAGTCCAAGCACGCCCATATTCCTCCGCCTTCTCAGGCGTCGGGACCAGGCGATCAGGCGCATAAAAAAACTGCCATAACCCATGATTCGGATCCGTCTCGACCTCCGGCGTGTAATCTGCCGGCTGCGGTATCTCGTCCTTGGATATATTCGTTCGCGCCCGCGGACCCGATCGATATATACTACTCACACCACGCAGTCTATTGTTATCGCGCCGTGGTTTGCGTATACTGAGGTTCGGTGTGGAGGAGAAGGGGCAGCGTTGTGCTGTCGTGGTTTTGGTTGTTGTAGAGAGGATGGCTAGGAGGGGAGATGGGTGGTGAGGGCCCGCGGAGTTTATTATTCGGCCAATTGATGGCCGGATGGAAGATGCCATCGCCATGAGCACGGTACCTTGAGAACGCCTGGGGAATTAGAGCTAGGCGTGCTGATAGGTAGGTACGTGATGGGTATATCGATGTGATATTGATCGAGATTGAATTTTTGGAGTTTTTCCGAATTTTGGATACTTTGATTAATCCGATAAGCGCAGATAGCGACCCACATAAGCTTAGATTTGATTACCTAATTCATGGCACTCTGCCCAGCCACCTACGTCAACACTTGTGGCTTGGCTGGATACCCCTTTTTATGAATTCCTACACAGTGTTGCATGATGTATGCAAGTCACAATATTATTCGACAAATAGGTCAATTAGATGGCTTAGATGCATGGTGACGAAGGTGGTGAAACAATCGACGCCTCTTACGACAAGACAATTACCTACGAATATACCGATGTTTGCTCGTGGCTATACGCATTTAAATGTAAAATTTTGTTGACTTGTGTGGTTGGGTGGCAAACCCTATAGACGCGGTTTGATGTAGTTCCTCTAGCAAACCTCCCTATCCAAATATTCGGGGTGCCGGACAGACCTCCTGACTGCCGGCCTATGCTATTCTTAACTGCCATGTATAGTATTATAATGTTCCTATTGTTTCCCCTGTCATGTTTTATATTGGATTATATCGCCCGAAACGGTATATTGGGCAGAGTTCGGTTGGGCACCTGGGTCGGCCATTGCTTGGATTTTCCTTCTTTAGCAGTGTTTAATTCTATCCTGTGCGTTATAGATATCGAATAGTTATTGTAGATATCTCGAAGTGATATCCTTTGCAGTATTGTTTGCTTGTTGTTTATTCTTTAGATGAAGGCCAAGGAAACCATCGGTAGCCTTACGTCTATTTGCTATTGTTTCGGCAATGGAAGACGGGTAGAATCTTTCTTGCTATTCGACCGATGGCTGTACGTAATATTGAACCTCTTACGAATATGGATAACCCAGCTTTACGTTGACGTTCGAGGACACGAGTTGTTCTTGCCAAGGGTTGGCCCGGGAAGCTTCGTCGAGGTTTAAGCCCGTAAGACAAAGCAGTCTACGCGTATTATTGCCTACTAGGAAGCGACTTGCAGGATTTAGGGGGTTATAACGTCGTACGACAATATCATCGCACTTAAGTGTATGCAGAGATCTTGTTGTTTGCGGGCTACGGTTTTGGAAATTACATGTCGTTAGTTGGGAAGAACCGGGAGGTTGTCGTTATTATCGTGACTATCGTCGGGAAGCATTGATGATCGTATACGCGACTTGGAAGGAGATGAAGCGAGGGACGTCGAGGAAATCGTGGAAGGCGTGGTTGTCGTGCGAAATCGAGATGTCGAAACAAGAGAAACTAACGACAAGAGGAGCCCTGTTGTAAGTAGTTCTACCCTGTGGGTTCGATCCTAGGGCAAGCTGAATCTGTCTCCATATCCAACTTTCCCCGAATACCAAATCCACGGCGGGTATACGGGGCCTGCGGGAATAGTGTAGCCGCAATTATACTCAGTTCACGGCGAACAGACATGACTCCATACCTATTCATAGGACTTCTTGTGGGGGATCTCTAGAACATCCGACGGCTAGATACTTGCCTAATGCTTAAGAGTTAGAGGCCATCGACGAGGTTATCAACAAAGACTACGCAGCCATCGCATAGATTGCTTATCTGAAGCATTCGCCCATTGTTAGACTTGTTTAGGGGTCTCTATTATTCTCTACAGTGGACTTTCCAGTATAATTTAGTTGGAAAGAACCCCTGAGCTTACAAGTGCCGCAGTGGACGTGCTTTACCGGGACGCCTTTCTAAACTTGGATAGCGCTTCTACAATGACCTTACATACACAAGTTGGTTTTTATAACAAAACACAAACTGTTGGATACTGAAGATTGATTTAGAATAATTAGTCTACCTTGATGTCTGCCTAGAACATAGCAATCACATCGTACTCCTATAGACTTGAGCATATTACAAAGGCCAACATCATAAGAATAACCACTCGTATTTTCCCAACGAGGATATCCCATGCGCATCCGCAGCAAAAGTCTCCAACAGGCAGAGACCCACCGGCGCTTGGAAATCTCCTAGGCTTCACCGAGTTTCACGACTTTGCCTACAGTAGCTTCGGTGTAATGCCGAGAAGCCTAACCGTAGTAGACGCCCAAATCCGCCCAACAACACGAAGCTATCGTGCGCCTAGAGGCCGTCATACCCAATCGTTTGGTAAACCCGGATCTATTTCGAACACGTAAGTTATTTGAGGCAATGAGCTCGTGAGGGTAGAAATTATGTTCGTCAACTAGGCGAGACGCTTCAGAAAGCGCCGGAACTAGTTAGACGGACTTGGGACTAGGGCACTCCTTTTTTTTGCTCTTTTGCGATGGGAGAACGGAGATAGCCTAGCCTAGCGATTTCGGTTAGCCATTAGCCCGGTCCACGACGCCTCACTTCAGATCCATACTATAATGTAATAATACCACCGCTGCTACATAGGTATTAGTTTACTACTACACTACACTATGCTACGTAGTAACCTGCTGCAGGTCATAGTGGATGATGGGTGCCCAGATTTTGGGGGTCAAGAAAATTGACAATAGGTAAAAACAAGGATCTAGACATCGCGCTTCTTCTCTTCTGCATCTAGCCAAAACATCCTCGTATGTAGATCCTCGAGAGGAGTAAATTGTCCTGCCAGTCTGCCTTGGCGGATCGTGAATATCCATGCAGAATTAAGTATTGATAGGGCATCACCAGAGCGTCATTCCAGACATGTGCTATTGTCACGACATAAGAGACGTATTCTGATCTACAGTAAGTGCTAGTAACCCTCTCTTCAGCCATTAACCGACTGGTAACCTGTCCCTCAGGTAGTACCAGGATCGATTAATACAGAGATCCCATATTACCATACTCACGTCTCTTATGGATCCACGTTTGCTAATGAGTGCTTTAGTTTATTAAATATGCTTAAGTAGTATAACTAATGATATATTATTCCTGTATAAGCTGCAATACATTCAATTTCGGTGACATTGAAAGAACAAGCGGGAATGACACAGTTCTAACTGGTGACAAATACCTCCTTCTAGTGAAAATGGGGGCTTAATACAGATCTTGGCTAGACCAACATGTATTAAATTGCTCTGATAAACAAACATATAGAAGCCACGTTTATACAATCTAAAAGATGATTTCAAGATCTACATATTGGAGTATATTCAATAAATCAATACTTTATCTACCAATTGCTTCGAGTGGAGTCGAGCGGAAGCCGTCTGCCAAGTTGAATCGACGACTCCATCGGATAGCTTCCGATACAGGCCCAGTCTTTCCCTGTTTTGTGGAACCAGGGATCATTCCGGAGAACCGTAGACGGATTGCCTCACTCGGCCGAGGTGTTTCCCATTGCTTTTTAAATAGACATAGATGAATACATCATGATTACTGCAAATATCGAGGGTTAAGCTTAAACTACGATGTGTGTGATACCTTCATTCGTACGTATCGAACAGCAGATCTGTAAGTATAGCCTATGTGCGCCGTTCCCGGATCTAGGCAGGTCTAGATGCAGCAGACCTTTTGATTTTTTGTCCGCACTACCCGTCCTCCTACCTGTGGTAGTCACAAGGAGCATGACTTGAGCAAATCCCGGGAAATTCGGGATCGTCTCCCACCACCAGCCTCTCCCCTTTCGCTCAATTCCAAAATAGCATTCTGATTGCGTACCAACAGGAACCAATGCATTGTACGTCGTGATCTGAAAAGGTTGCGGGGAAGCGAGACTTCTAAGTGGTAGATTCTCGAGGGAAAGGAACAAACGAGAGAGCAGTATAGCCGTAGTTCGGAATCCTCCTAAGGCACAGCCCATCTAATAAGCCATAACAGTGTAATATTTGGTAAGCATTTAAATGCTGAAAATAAGCGACTTACCTACCTAATATGTTAGGTCTGTATGTACGAGGTATGTCAATCATCGAACTTTTGACGATGAAGGAATAGTACCTCAATAGGGGTCAAATTGACGCCATAGAAATTATAGAAAAAGGCCGCACTACGTTGGTTGGTATTATATCGTAAACGATTTTCCTTTCTGTACTTGGGTAGGTACATAGAAGATTAAGAATAACGCGTCGGGGTTGTTATTCAAGTATCAAAGGGGCGTTGATCTTTTCCATGCCGAAAATGCATAACTTTTTAATGCACGGTATCGAGATAATCAACATAAGCATTGCCCAGTTGGGACTCGGCTGAAATGAGACCTATCAGAATCGGAGCTCATAAGATCTTCACCAGTCGTTTTCCCTGCGGCTTGCCTTTATCGGAAGCCCGGGCGTTTTTCTCCAGGGCTCGAGACAGGCCATCCCCGGACAATACCATCAGACCCTAGGGCGAAACCAGCTGATGCTTGCCTTGTTGTCGCAACTGGTGTAACCGTCCATGTTCGAAGGACGAGCGGCTTTCTGTTTCCTGTGTACTGGATTAGGTAATGGTCACCATTTTGTCTGACGGAGTTGCAGGCAGCAGATGAAGAAATAATAAAAAAAAAGAAGGGGGGAGGGGGAGATCTCATAGGAGAAGTTATTCGAATGATGGGATAGGCGAAACCAGCATCAGAATCCTGTTTCTATGAATAAGCAGAGGCTACAGCATTCCGGCAGTAGTCAATGCGTGCCTCGCCTCACAAGCGCGCCATCCAGCTTCTTTATATAACGATCGTTGGGCGGTACGGTAGAAGAGGAATCATTACCGGCGGCATGATGCACACACACAGACGTTTCTGCGTACACGTATTCACCATGGTTCGTACCAGCCTTGCCGGGGGTGTGGGTGAGATGAGCCTTTCTAGGGTAAGGGGGCTAAGCAATATGTAATAGTAGTATTTGCAACCGCGTCACTTTTTTTGTTCTCGAGATATTATTTGTATGGACGGATTGGTGTGTTAGTGTGTTGTATAAAATGAAATAAAACCAAACAAGCTGAGACAGAATATCCGTTCTTGGAAACATCAGAAGCATTTGGTGTCTCCTCGGAGCTTATGCGAATGGTAGATGGTGCTATGTTTCTCATCGTTCGTTTTTTTACCCTTTCCGTTTTCCGTGTAGGCATGTAGGTACGAAAAATATGTATGGGGGTCACGATGTCG